GCAGCTGGTCGCCTATGCTTGCCAAGGCCCCACACCTTCACACCTCACTGTACACTACTCGCCATCCACTATTACATACACTCACGGCCTGCCCAAGCCTTGGTGCGAAGTTAGCTTCGGATAATGGTAAGTACTACGTGTTTCTAGCTTTCTCCCATATTGTTTATTGTAATTAGGAAATTCCACGTGGCCATATTCTGGCCCCGTCCTTCTACTGCTCGTCGATGGGATTACTCATGGGCCCTAATCCCGTCATCCTTGGTTGGGGCAGCTAGGGGCGTGTACATTATGCGTATAGATTAAGTCTAAAGGTGCGTAAACATTATATAACAACATGTTATATAACATGTTTCAGTAATGTGAAGGCTGAATGTTATAAAACCTTATATAACTACAATGTCATATAACATTGTTATATTGCATTGTTATTCTAATGTGTACAGTATTGTTATATGTTGCAATGTTGAAAAACAATGTTACATAATGTGGACGTGTTATAAAACAAGAGTTACACAACATGTTACTTAATCTGTACGCACTCTTAGATTATTGATAAGTCATCGCGCACTCTGACCGCGCGATGACTTATTAATAATCTAAGGATTAAGTTTAGAAACTAATTATATTCTAAAAAATTTTGGAGATTTGCATGCTGTTGAAAACAGCTAAATAGGTTTTCTCAACACATTATGATTACACCAAGAACTAAATATTTTTGTACCTATTTACTAGCAAATAAAGAATTTGAATTTGAATTTATAAGGTTCATTTCTAAGTGTGTAGGTAACACTTTTCATGTATCCTGTACGGTTTTCTTTAAAACTGAAAAAACCGCGCTTAAGGACATTTTATGGGACACGGGGGGTAACTTTCTACCGGGAGGGGGAGGGAGAGTGGATAAAATTTAACTTCGCTCTATAACGTACATATGCCAATATACAAAAGTCCATTAACCTTGCCAATTTCTTAGCTAAAATGATTGAACTACATGAGCGATGTGTCATATCACGTCGCGCGGCTCAAAGTCTGATATACGCGGGTGTAACCGCGGGACACAGCTGGTATTTTATATTTATGCTAAAAATTTGAAAAAAGTAGAAAAAAATTGAGCACTACATCTGTGCTTCGCGTTCGATGTGTGCAATAGTTTATTTTGTTACCTTGAAATGTTTTTGAAAGCCTCCAATTAAAATCACAATTAATGAGAAGCCGCAAGACCATTTGACTCAAACAGACTTAGTGACATTGCCTCGTCCGATGAATTAGGTATTTTGTTTTTGTTAAAATGTACCTTAAATTTGAGTATGCACGGAAAGTTTTTCTATTTGCGCTACAATTTTAAAATAGTACGAGTACATTTAAATTAGTGAGTGAAAGTTTTGTTTTCCATTAACTCACTATATAAGCATGATACAGAGTGTTGAGCTCTACCAACACACTGATCAGCAAGTAGCTGCAAGCCGTTAATTTCCAACTGGTGATGCTGCTTGTCATTATCAGGCTGTGGGATTCCTCTACACATTTAGATAGATTTCGTACTGTAAGTAGGTAGGTAGAACTTCATGCGTTAATTATAATATCTTTCAGACTGATTTAGGTTCGATCTAATTTTGCCGGCCGCTAGCCTCAACAAAACTCTACAACAAAAATCTAAGGGAAGTATTATAGTGCACAACTGTGAGTGCAAGTAAAAGTGCACTCTATTCCCTCTCTCTCAATGCCCGATGTTACTTACGGCAATGCAACAGGACCGAAGAGAGACCAATGGCTTTACGTGCTTTTCGAGGCATAGGGGTGAAACACTGCCAACTCGGAATGATATAGAGAAATTTCATTCGAAAAACTCAATACCCGACTTTGGCTCGATCAGGGATGGTCTTGGTATCAAACGCAAGACTACATGATCAGTAATAACGCTAAGTACTATTAGATCAACGGGGCAGTTAAGCTCATATGTTACATAGTAGGTCGTTCAAGTTAACGTGCAGGTGAGGTGAACACTAAAATATATAATGTCAAAATAACAGTTTTTTACTATATGCATATGAAATTATATACGGTACTTATAACAAAAGCAAAATTTTTAAAATCTTTGTTTGCCTGTCCGTCTTTCTGTCTGTCTGTCGTCTGTTTGTTCCGGCCATAGATTACCTTAATCTATGGTTCCGGCTAATCTCCGAAAAGGCTGGACCAATTTTGACAGGACTTTCACTGGTAGATAGCTGATGCTATAAGGAGTAACTTAGGCTACTTTTATTTAATAAAAAGAAAAAGAATTTAGGTTCTGCGCAAAATAATAAAAACCCATGAAATCCATTCATTACATCCAGAAATTACACGCGGGCGAAGTCGCAGGGAACAGCCAGTATTAAGTATTTTTTTTAAATCTAGCAATCATTAATTAACTACAGCTTTTCACAGACCAGCCTCAAGAAATGCCTCAAAGAACGGTCCAGATCGATCTGCATCCATGGAGTTTCTGCATCTCTGTTGTCACTCAATCTACATACATAGGGGGCCCGCCCTACACTTCGCTCACTGGTACGATATTATAAATATAAAATACTTTATTACAAATCAACATAGGTCATAAAATTTAAGGCGTAAATAATTATTATAAATTAATACTGTAAAATGCAGACCACAAATAAATGTAGTTTTTATCTCGGTACTGATCTAAAATGAAATAATTTTTAGAACCAATAAAACAAAGCAGTTTCTCTTTAAGTTAACGGTAAATATGCACCACACCCTGAATGATTAGCATTATGTCGAATGGGCTTGCGGCTTTCCCAAATTATCGTGTTTAATTAACAAAATGCGCTTACTTGCTGTTACTCACGAAAATTGATGAAAAACTATAACGATGTTTGTATAAGTTGATTTGAGCAGCATTTTTACTATTAGAATTACTATTATTATACACTAAAGCATAAAATTACCATCGTGATTTAACGCACGAAGGGTATAAAAAGAGATATACATTTTTTTTATTCACAAAAAGCTTATTGCATTTTTAAGGCTTTTCATCACTTATTATAATAAATGTTTATATAATCTTAATCTACTCTTTATTTAAAAAATTTAACGTAGATATCAAAAATATAAATAAATTCTCTTATTGAAGGCCTGGTATTCAAATCAAAAAGTGGTTCATGTCATGTTATGTGTACAGGCAAAGTGAATAGTGAACTCACCGACATTTATGCGGCGAAGACGACCCATGTCAAAATTATGTCGTTTAAATTAAGGTCATATTCAGAATGTTTTGAGTAGCCTGAGGTAAGGCGGCACGGGCAAGGCCAATGATTTCGTACTTATTTTAAGGTACTTACAATAAGTTACTTTATTATATTTTATTCGGGAAACCCTCGGCTAACAATAAACAGACAAGGTAGAAAATAATTAAACTATGGGAAACTAAATATTTCCATGCGGTGAATTACCGATAGTCAATAACACTATCGCACCAACCGTAAGCTTAATTAGGTATAATCGCGCATTAATTAACTAAACTTTACAGATAAACAAATTAAAAACAAAATCATCGGCTGTGGTCGAAAACTGAGAACTCGTCTTGCCAAAATGACACTTGTGTTGAATAGGTCTAAATTAATTATTTAATTTCAAAAGTAGATCTAGACAGTCGATCTTGCTTGTATTTTTAATCTTAAGTAGAAAAATAATATCCGCTATTTGCGTTCTTATTTCGAGCGGTAAAAGATGGAATTTTCTAAATTTGTCGTAAATAGAGGTTAGATTTGTAGTGACATTTTACTCGGTAGCAAAAGTGTTTAATTAATTTCATCTTAGTACGTTCAATTTCATTTATAAAGATATTGTATTGGGGGCTCCATACTTGTGATGCAAAATATAAAATACTTCTTACATAGCAAAAGTACAAAATTTTCAAAACGTTAATTTGTTTGAAGATTTTAGAGCACCGCATTCCAAACTCTATATTTCTGGAAGACCAACCAATGATATTTTCAATATGTTTGTCGAACAAAAGTTTCGAGTCATGTATAACTCCCAAATTGCGTACGGATCACTCTCTGGACAACGATTGGCCTCGAATCTGGTAATCGTACAGTAATTTATTGGATTTATGGGCTAAATGTGACAACTGAGCATTTTATAGGTTTGTGATCGAGATTGTTATAGGTATCAATTAAATTAAATATATATATATGTCGAAGAAAAGTCGCATTCAATGAAGCCATTATTATCAACAGGTCTTGTGGGCGACATTTTGGGTAAATACAAGCACAACACACAACACGAATAATAAACTTGTTTATACTTTTACTAATTTAAATTTAAATTAAACTTTACAGAAAATAACACTAAGTAAATTTTATTAGAGAATATTAAAATTAATAAAAGAGCAGCGAGTTCGTAATGCGACACAGACATACACCATCACACATCAAAACAGAAAAAACAAAACTGTACCCCACGCCGATTCTATCCGCTCCTCTTTTGTCTTTGTTTTCATCCAGTCGCACCACGACTCCGCTCGAGGCGTTTCACCAGCGAACCTCGCTCTGATTGGTTGTTGTGATCACCGTATTAATCAAGCCATGAACCTCTGGCTTTTGATCGGTTAATTAAAAGAAATACAACAATAATAAATAATCCTAAATTCTTAAGTAATTTTATGGCTAAATTAATATTAATGAAATTAAGATAAAACATTAGAATTGATATTATTTAAACTATTTAAGTCATTATAAAAATTTCATAGTTTTATTCATTCCCGTTACGGCCTTCCTGACATTTCACACGTCCTCGTGTGATGCTTTTTGATCGATATTATTTTAATCTACAAATAGAAAAAGAAAACTACGATAAGCTACTCCCTTCATTCATAAATAATAATTATTACTTTAAAGTAGCTTTCACTATCCAAACAGCCAATGTTGCCATATTATCAACCTCTGCTCTAAAAGCAGACTCCCCATACAAAACAGTTTCCGCTATTAATTCAGCCTCCGCTGTCAAAGCAACCTCCGCTGTCGAAGCAACCTCCGCTGTCGAAGCAGGCTCCGCTGCAAAGCAGCCTCCGCTGTCAAAACAGCCTCCGCTGTCAAGGCAGCCTCCGCTGTCAAAGCAGCCTGCGCTGTCAAAGCAGCCTCCGCTGTCGAAGCAGCCTCCTCCGCTGTCGAAGCAGCCTCCGCTGTCAAAGCAGCATCCGCTGTCAAAGCAGCCTCCGCTGTCAAAGCAGCCTCCGCTGTCAAAGCAGCCTCCGCTGTCAAAGCAGCCTCCGCTGTCAAAGCAGCTTCCTATACCATAACACTCCGCTATCAAGCCAAATCATACTTTCTTATCATTAAATTCTTACATTAAAAAAAATGAAATAGAGACCAAATCTTACGATAGTCTACTAGTTACCATATAAGTACCTTTATATTTAAGATCTAATTTGGTTTGATTCACTCATGATTTTCAATCAAAATATAATCTCCTACAGCAAATGATGTAACTTTTGCTTTATTGGCATTAAACCGTTTTTGTCAATGCTAGCGTTTTTTGCATTAACTTTACAGCCCTCCCTCGCAACTCTTCCAAGTCAATTTCAATTTCATGATCATCGACTGCCATTAAACTTAAAGGTCTTGCAACTTTCCCAATCAAAAATTCTAGTGAACTTTCTTTCGTCACTCTATATGTTGTACTATTTAAAGAGACCTGTACGTCGTCGAAAGCATTCTAAAACCAGTTGCTATAACATGTAAATGAATATTATGATTGTTGCAAAATACCCTAAATTCAGTATTTGCAAAACATCTACCTTGGTCTGCTTTTATTCTTACAGGAGTACCAAAAAGTATTATTGAAGCTTTACTGGCTTCTACTGCACTCATGGCGTTTATTCGCAACGAGTGACTTAGCAACACATATTTAGTAAAAGAGTCAATGAGTACAAATACGTACTCTTTTGAGTCGCTTTTGCTATTAAGCTTGCCAGTAGCGTCTATATGAATTTTATGCCACGGTATATTAACTTTTGGGACTGGATGTAATACAATTTGCTATTTACCAGATTTTTCTTTAGCCACTTTACAGGTAATAACAGTTTTCAACAAATTTTCTAACATATTTTGCCATATTAGGAAACCAATAATGTTGGTAAGTTTTTTTTTCTAATGTTTTTTTTCGTCACAAGTGTATGATGGATTCATTAATATGATTTATAACTGACCAACGAAAAGTTTTAAGTACAATAGGAAGCCACATATTTCGATTATTCTTTGAATTTTAGTGTACAGAATTTCATAAAGCCGGCTACTTTCTAAACCTATGTCATCGTTTTAAATTTTATAAATAAACTACATTATATAAAATTACATTCGGGATCATCTAGCCTTTGCTCTGTTTGCAACCAATTTATTGACAACCCAGTAATATTAATATATTTTTACTCTACATTTTTTTTATAACTTCATTATTTACAATTAATTTTTTCTGTATTGGGAAATGGTTTCTAGAAAGAAAATCGACATGGGATATTTTTTTTCTTCTCTATATTCTACCCCAAAATCAAAGGCTTACAGAAACGTCCACCAACGATGTACCCTGGGTGTTAGATCAACTTTAGTTCTTGATGACTTCAATGAGTTACAATCATACTGTAAATGATCTACCGTACAAATAAAGTCGAAAATGTTTAACCGAATCACCACCGCTAATTTTTCCAAATTTATTAAAATTAAGTTCTCTATAGTATACACATATGTGGTCGAATCCATCACGCTTCCTAACTAACAAAATAGGATTCGGGAAAAGAGATTTGCTTGGATGAATCACACTTGCTACAAAAAGTTCATTACACTTATTACAAACAATTTCACGTTCACAATTAAATGATAAGTTCTCCTCTGCACAATTTTATTAGTATCTACTAATGTTATTTTTAATTCTCTCGTTTTTACTCTACTAGTAGGCGTTCCCTCGACAAACGGCTTTACAAAACTATGAAGAATTTCCCTTAAATTATAATTAGAACGATGGATGACAATATCAGGGTCGATATTATCAAATGTAGTCACAGGCCTACCTATTTCGCAAATATTAACAACGCTAGACTTCTTAACTGTTAGATCATCGGATGAAAGTTCTACTATAAAACATAGCCCTAATAAATCACGTCCTATTAAAATATAATTATTCAAATATATATTGGGTATAATGTGAAATAATATTTCTACGGTGTAGCTGCAAAGAGTTACAATTTAAAAAAAAAAATATGATTTACATATTACTTGAGACTTGCCAACAATAGTGATTATAGCATGCTGTAGTTTGCCAGACAATTTATTGGCTGTAGTTTCTCTAATAAGGGAACGATCAGCTCCAGAATCAAAACAAAATGAAATTTCTCACCAAACTGTGTAATAACTCCGGTGACAGGTTTCAAGCCGCGCAGATTAACTCTCCTCTCCACATTCGACGACGTTGTTGCCTGTTGCTGTATACTACTACCTCAGACGATTATGTTTTAAGCATCGCGACGCCATGTGACCGCCGAACCCACACGTGTAGCACTTAATTACATGTTTGATCATTGTTTCACTTTTATTAAAAGAATATCGGAAATTGAGGTAGATTTAGTCTTCTCATTTGATCGACTGAAGTAAATATTAAAATTAAAATAATATCTGTGACCAAGTTTTCCGCAAGCATAACATTTCATTGCAAAACTTGAAAATTTTGAGCGTTTGATATCCGGTATATAAGTATCTCAGTTCGTATTTGTTTCTTGAACCGTCCGTTATCGATAAGAAAATGCCATCAATTTGCGTTGCATTTTATAGCGCTTATTTATTTCTTCTGTAATTATTTTGCGTTATAAGCGCGATTAAATTTGACCAATTAGGGCAAGAATTGTAGATACAGCTAAATAAAATAGTCCAAAGTCAATAGTCCATAAAATATACTATCTAAATAAAATAAAATTAGTCCATCGAGACATATGTAAGTAAAGAAAATAATCTGGCCGAGTATGAAGCAAGTGATTCGCCATCATGCGGTTTACAATTGAAAATTTTAAAAATTATAACTGCTCATGTATCTACAGTATTAAAGCAAGACGAAAAAAAAATTTTTTTTAAATTCTGCCCACAACATATTAGGATAAGCAGCTTGTGGGCCTATGAGCCTGTGTAGCAGCAGATCCTTACATAGCTTTACTAATAATAATTGGTTAAACTATAGACATCCGGTACTCGCCTACGAGGTTGGGAGGGGGATGGGGAGGGGGGGGGGGTCAGGAGAAGCCCCCAATTCGTTGTGTATGAGTCCCATCTTCAGCCACAAATGGATTGTCTGGGTCTGAGTGGTTAACTTTTTTATGTGTGTACCCGTGTTCTGCCAAACAATCATATGCCCGCCAACAATCAGTATGAATTGTGGTACCCGCCGCCACATGTCTCTGTATAAGCGGCACCAGTACCTCAGCAGACCTAATATTGTCCGGGCACACCTCTAGTCTGAGATCCTCAGACCCATCTTCTATCATACCGAGCACCCAGTGGCCTTCGATGTGACGTCCTATAACAAATAAAATTAATATTAGACATTTAGTATGACAAAAAAAGGTGTAAACATAATCATACTTATATTTACCTTTATTGTATTTTCGTTTTCCAAATTTGCTCTCATCAATTTGTACAATTTTACCAGGGCCACCAATCTTTCCAGTAAACTGATTCTGTTTCTCGAGGTAGTAAATAACAACTACCTCTCTGCAGTAATTGTACCAATCACATATTGTATTTGGGCTTAAACATTGTTGTCTCTGTCGTTTATATGGGTCTTCATGGATTGTTTGATTATAAGACCATCCTTGTGAATATGCATATATGAGGTAATATATGTGGGGCATATCAAGAGTTACATTTTCAAAAAAAGTCCCTTGTCGTCGTGAGATTTTAACTCCACTGCCTCCAGCTTTCCCCTTACAGGATGCTTTAGCACATATGAAAGTACCAAGCGATTTGCAGCCACTTGAGTATGAAATTTTTATATTAGTTTTATGTTTGCCGCACTTTCGTTCCTTTAGGACCAGCCCTTCATCCTCACTATATCGAACACATTGCTCGTTCGTTCCAAGTTCACGCACAATATCCGACAGATTCCACATGAACATAATCTCAGACACGTATAGTCGACGCTTCACATAGTCGCCGTCGTCAGAGAAGTCTTCGTCGATGTGTGATGGTTCCTCGAGTAAAGCGTCAGATGCCGAAGAAGGCCCCGCTACGGGTTCGTAATCGCTCATTCTCAGGTCCGGTAAGCAAGCCAAAGTCCAAAGTAATGCAATCCAATCAAAACCAGAAACAAAGCCAAGGTCAAACGTAAGGGCAATCAAAGAAGTCCAAAAACAGAGCAGAAGTCGTCGAAAAAACAGGGAAAACACAGCACTAAGCACAAAAAAGAACATTCGCGTGACTACTAGAGAAACGGAATGACAATTAACATTTGACATCATAGATAATATATTATATTTGACATTTACGGTTGCCGACAACATGGCCGTCAACAACCGTTCCGATTCACACTTTTTGCATCTGTTTTTGACATCTAATCTCATAACACTATACAAAATTGTCATATTTGCGTTTCGTTATACGGAATTTTTATTGAAATTTATTTTTGTCATAATTAATTAAAAACGCATTTCCGACATTCAAAAACAGTTTAAAATGTTCATGCTTAACCCTGACAAGCCTCCTAAGTTGAAAACATAACTAAAATCAAGTACCGGATATCTATAGCCAACCCTAATAGGTTTCAATCGACTTCCCTGTATTTGGTACTCGTTAATACAGATATCTGCAGTTGATAGCGAAGCTTGAGCATCAGCATCTTCATTTTAAGGATGAAATTCTGGCGCGTAAAGTCCTTGATATTATCTTGTGGTTTATGATGTAAGGCCTCCAAGAGAAGTTGGATACTATTACTGTATGTATTACGCTTCGAATAAAGTACGCCATCGGTAATTATCATCCCTCGAAGTTCACTAAATAAATTACGTGCTTGCAATGATCCCACTTCTGATGTCGAAGAAAAGTCGCATTCAATGAAGGCATTATTATCAACAGGTCTTGTGGGCGACATTTTGGGTAAATACAAGCACAACACACAACACGAAAAATAAACTTGTTTATACTTTTACTAATTTAAATTTAAATTAAACTTTACAGAAAATAACACTAAGTAAATTTTATTAGAGAATATTAAAATTAATAAAAGAGCAGCGAGTTCGTAATGCGACACAGACATACACCATCACACACCAAAACAGAAAAAACAAAACTGTACCACACGCCGATTCTATCCGCTCCTCTTTTTTTGTCTTTGTTTTCATCCAGTCGCACCACGACTCCGCTCGAGGCGTTTCACCAGCGAACCTCGCTCTGATTGGTTGTTGTGATCACCGTATTAATCAAGCCATGAACCTCTGGCTTTTGATTGGTTAATTAAAAGAAATACAACTATAATAAATAATCCTAAATTCTTAAGTAATTTTATGGCTAAATTAATATTAATGAAATTAAGATGAAACATTAGAATTGATATTATTTAAACTATTTAAGTCATTATTAAAATTTCATTGTTTTATTCATTCCCGTTATATATATAATCAATTAAATTACTTAGATCATTTCGTAGTGCTTCCACGTCTCTTGATGAAGAAATAATTGCAAACATTTTTATGTCTTCTGCCCAATTTTAATATACTTAGAAATATCTAAATCACGCTCCTATGCTATTATGTTATGTATACCATTTTGATTATGCGATAAATGTAGACAGAATGCTTTTGACGAGGGTCTTTATTTACCCTTACGTGAAATTTTATTCATTTTATCAAAGTACAATAAAACTCGACAGAAATCACTTTTATTTGAGCGTCACCATTATGTGCCTCCGAAAATAAGAGAGGTAACATATTCCAATCTATTAAAATGTGATATTTTATACACGACTTTTTCGTAAAAAAGATAAAATATGTGACAAGGAAATAACTAAATTGAGAGAAATACGTGTAGTGGTATATATATTGTTTTGAATGAGGTTAAAAAATAAAAGGAAATACGAACAAAAGAAGGTGGAATAGTTATTTCCCACTTGTTTAGCACTTCCTTATATATTACTATACTCTTTGTTTTAGCAGTATAAAGTATCGCGCGTGTGTTCTTCTATTTAAATAATTTTTAGAATAATTTCTAGCATCAGAGGTGGAACAATTTATTACAATATAATAAAAATACCAGATATATATAGGAAATGTAAAATGTATGCTATAAGTATTTTCATTTTCAAATCTATAATATTTTTAAACCGTAAAAAACGTTTGCTTTTGTTTCTAGGACTTTATAAAAATTAAACTAGGTTCATATGAGTTTAAATTATAAATCTTAGTGGAATGATTGGTTTTGTCAAAAAAAAAGTATATTATTAATTTTAACACAACATATTATTAAAGAAATATAACTCATATTATTCACTTGGGATTGTTTTATGTAGCCATATTAGAACTATGGAGTAAATATCAAATTGTCACCCCATTATGATACTGTACCGAAAATCTTTTCGAAACAGTTGGGATTCGAAATAAATATTGTATTTCTTGAAATATGAAGAGGTAAAAAATGGATACTAATAGACAAGTAGGATTATTAACTTTGTGGTTGTATGACTTATTGTACTATCTCACTATAATAAGACGGAGTCAACTCACACATTTTTATCGAGATGGAGACAAAAAAATGTACACATTGGCAAATGTGTACATTTTTTTGTTGATATCACAGGCGACAGTGAAAACTGTGCCGCAATTATTGTTCTTTTTTTGTTGAAATTTACCCCGCCTTGGCTGCAAGTATGTTCATCGACTGCTTAAACACATAGTCTGATTATGTTCATATAACATAAACACTCACGCCTGTCACCCAGAGGGGTAGGCAGAGATTATGGACTTCCATTTGGCACGATCCTGACACACCTCTCTCGCTTCCTCCACATCCATATACCTACGCATACACGCTCGTCGGTTAAAGGTACTCTTGATTTGGCCCATTTTTAATATATCGCCAATTTGGTCGATAAACTTTCGCCTAGGGCGACCCTTCCCGACTATGCCGTTCACCTCTGCAACATAAATTTGCTTTGTCACTCTTTCCTCATTCATTCTTTCTACATGGCCAAACCACCGAAGCATTCCTTTCTTAATCCTGGTCACAACATCATCTTGCAAACCATCATAATATTATGAACATAATGTCTGCTAGGAACATTAATAATATGACGTAAGGTAACAAAGACAAGCTAAATAAAATAAAAAAATGCAAAGGAATCAGTCTTACTAAATATTTAACATTCATTCATTTTAAAAGTTCAACATCCTTCCTGAGTTGTTGTAACTTTAAAATAGGAAGACTTTTAAAGGCAGGAAAGCTCCACTGCTGTTAAATATTTTGTGCCTGACGCCCAACGCGCTTAGAAAACTAAAAGAGCCGTGAATTAATAATTCAAACTTGACGGTTATGTTCTCTTTGTCCTTATTTCTTTTTACGCACTTCTTTTTGTTTTTTCCATAAGAGACTTATAAAAAGGCAAAAAAAATAAAAATAATAATTTGCGTAATTATTTTTGTCGTTCACAGAATGAGTTTTCATCTAATTCTATTCTTACACGAACTTGATATCGTTTGCATTGACTTTCTTGTAATTTACAAACAAATGTATGCATTTTACACGTGGTGGAGCTATGCTGCAGCTCTATTAATGTCTTAGTACGTATGGGTCGGATGGACCAAGAAAAGACCACGCTCTCACATAATACTATTGTAAAATGACAGTTAAATTCTGCTGTGTTTCGTATGGTGATTGTAGAGAACCTAAAACCCTTTTCATTGGAAACGGGCATTCCATCTTAGCCCTCTCAGTGGTGAAAATGCATTTGCGTTTTGATTCTTAAACAAGGATAAATGTTGATGTATATTTATGGGCCACAACATCCTTTTACTATCAGGTGGACTGTGTGCTCGATTGTCAGCCTTGTTGTGTAATGATCTCATTCATTACACAACAAGGTAGTGCCATACTAGTGCTATACATCTACGTGGTAGAGCCATGCTACAGCTATATTATGGTTGTAGCACGAATGGGTCGGCTCGAACGGGGAAGGACCACGCACTCACAGAAAACCAGCGTAAAATAGCAGCTTGACACTGCTGTGTTTCGTATGGTGAGTGTAGACCATGAAGCTAATACAAAGGGGAGACGGCATAAGCAACTGTGCACTGTGATTCTAAGTAGGTCCTGACGTCATCATAGTGGGCGTGGCTTTAGTTAGTATACTGTCAGCATTCTTCCTGTGCGCTTATGTGTTGAAAAAATCGCAAATCGGTGTATTTTCGTAGTATTAAGAAGAAAAGGATGAAGTGTTGTGTTTTATTGTGTAAAAACTACTCAGATAGACGCTCTGATGTTACGGATGGCATCACATTACATTTGTAAATATTTTTACACCTAATTTATTAAAATAGTTCTAGTAAAATCTCTTTGCGTCGGCTTTCAAATATAATTAAATATATTCGACACTAGATGGCGACACTTTGTGTCATGTGAACTAAAAATATGGAGCGTGGTCCTTCCCCGGTCAAGCCGACCCATTCATGCTACAACTATATTACTAACTAGCTGTTCCCCGCGACTTCGCTCGCGTGTTAGGGTTTTTATGTTTTTGTGCGGGACCCTAATTATTTTTCTAAAATAAAAGTAACCTAAGTTACTCCTTATGAAATCAGCTATCTGCCAGTGAAAGTCCCGTCAAAATCGGTCCAGCCGTTTCGGAGATTACCCGGAACAAACAGACAGACAGACAGGCAGACAGACAGACAGACAGACAAAAATTTTGAAAATCGTATTTTAGTTATAAGTACTGTGTTAACTTTCATATACATTTAGTAAAAAAAACTGTAATTTTTTACATTAGTAACAGACACTTTAATTTTATTTATTTGTATAGATGTATAGATATAGCTGCAGCATGGCTCTACTACGTGTGAAATGTAAAAAGTACGTCCTGAGCGACATGCATTCACCGCCGCGCTGCATATTTTATTAGGTCATCGCTCTATCTTGTAAGGCAAGCTGCCCGAGGCTGAACCAAGCACCATAGTCGTCTGTACGAGGATTTTTTCCCCTTCGGTCATCAAAGTTAGAATAGAACAGAATAAGTCATTTATTGTCCTAGTTGTAGGTTTTAGAG